CGAATCTATGCTAATTATATATCAATGTTTGTTTTTAAAAAAATGTGTATATATATATATATATATATACTTATATGTATATATATATTCATACATATACATATATATATATATGCACATGTATATAGATTTTTTTTTACACAGCAGTGGTTCCACAAGGGCACAGCCACCAAGGAGTCAGTAGGTCCAATGTGATCTTGGCAGCTTTCTCCATTTCTTGAATTTTTAGGAGAATATTTTTTGTAATGCTAGTAATATCAATACTGTTATCATTAGTATTATTATTGATATTAGGATGATGATGATGCTATTAGCAGTGTTGATAGCAATAAAGGATGGAAAAGGAATACTTCCAGAGAATCAAGAAAAAAATTAACTTCGAGGTCAGAGATCAGACAATTCTTACAGGCATTGACGTCTATACATATTAATAAGCAAATCACAGCAGATATATTATCTATTTACATACCCTCCCAGCATGAATTGGATAAAGAATGCTTTAGCTATACCTTTGAGGGTGAAATCAACCAGCATTACTTTGCTAAGTTGGATTGGGAAAATAAAGCCATGGATTTTTATTTAATTCTGTATTTTATTGTGAAATACTTGACAGATCATCAGGATTCAATGCATTGATAAAGATATAATAGAAAAGACCTGTATTTTGGACTGTTTCTGATTATGAGAAGAAATATGTATGATTCAAAAGGAAGAGTTTCTCTCTCTCTCTCTCTCTCTCTCTCTATCTCTCTCTCTCTCGCTATCTCTCTCTCTCTCGCTATCTGTCTCTCTCTCTCGCTATCTCTCTCTCTCTCTCGCTTTCTCTCTCTCTCTCTCGCTATCTCTCTCTCTCGCTATCTCTCTCTCTCGCTATCTGTCTCTCTCTCTCGCTATCTCTCTCTCTCTCTCGCTTTCTCTCTCTCTCTCTCGCTATCTCTCTCTCTCTCTCTCGCTATCTCTCTCTCTCTCGCTCTCTCTCTCTCTCTCTCTCGCTATCTGTCTCTCTCTCTCGCTATCTCTCTCTCTCTCTCGTTATCCCTCCCTCCCTCTCGCTATCCCTCCCTCCCTCCCTCCCTCCCTCACCTTTCCTACCCTCCATGATATTTCCTATGTAGACATGCAATAGAGTAACAAGAGTCTGTGTTAAATTCATTTATTAGATGCTTTCTATTTATAATTTTTCAGTAACACAACTGTGCAGTGTTTTAATTCCTCGTTATGTGTCTATCAAGGTCTCTTTAAAGATATTTCTTATAAACTATCAATACATGAATTTTATTGTCTTTTTTTTATTAATATTTATATTGTTTACACTTTCAAAGTGCTGCAATGGCTACATTACATTATCCTTCTTCATTGATATTATTTCTATTGTGTCTTTTAAAAAATGAAAAATATTCATCTTTGTTTTGTGAATCAGTTAGGAAGATTTTCACTCATTGTGTATGCAGTTTTACCAAGTAGAATGTACTCTAGTGTTTACTAATCACTAGTATTTCCCTTTGCCTTATATCCTTCTGTCTCCTTAGTGTCCGTCAAGCACCAAGAGCCAACATATCTTTGCCAAATCATGTGGAAAAATGGTTATTGATTTTTTCTGCTTGTTTCTCCCCGTTTTTTTTTTTTTTTTTTGTGGGAGAGTGAAAGAGAGGGATGAACAAAATGAGAGTAAGAAATAGATGATTCAGCAAAAGGGAATAGAGCCTGACAGGGAGAGTTACTGGAAAGGAGATGACAGATGCAAATATAATATTTAGTAGAAGGGAAGCAAAAAAAGACTCGGTAGGAGTATCAACAGGAGACAGATCAGCAGACCAAATGATGGAAATACAGGGTTAAGGGAAAAGGTGGGAAATGAGGTGGGGAGATGTCACTGAAAGGAGACAGGCTAAAGAAAGAAAGAGGAATTATCTGTACAAGACACAGATACAGCAAAATATACTCTTTATCAAACTGCATATCAGTGAGCACTTCTAGTTTGTCACTTATCATTTACGAGGTAGCAGGTTGTTGTGTTATTATTATTAAACCGCTCATTTTTCTCTTTTGCATGTAGCTCTAATCAAACTTTTCATGAAATCCAATGACCATTGTAATCTTTTGATTTATATGCATATTTTGTTTGCTTTGTAAAGAAACTAGTAGGAATAGGTAATGGAAATGAGTTACGATTGTGATAATGATAGAAATGATCATAGTGATAATAACGATAATGATGATAATGATTATAGTAATGTCAGTAATAATAATGATAATAAAATAATGATAATGAAAATAAAATAATGATGACAATGATAATAATAGTAGTATTAATAATATAAATAACAATTAAAACAATTATGAGAATGATGATAACATTTATGATAAAAAAATAAGTAATGGTAATGGTAATGATAACATACACATAATATTAGTTAAGTAGGAAACTTCAGTCATTGTCTTGTTCACAGATTTCAGTAGACAACCAGCTAATACTATTATCTTAGTCATTTAGATTTTCTATTTTGCATGCAAAATTCCTTTCTTTGAGATCCTAGGTTGCATAGATCCCAAAAAATATTAATTGTGGCAAAGATAGAAAAAGGTTTGAAATAGAATATCTTACAGTAAAAGAGGTGTATTTGACTAGTTTCAATTGTATCTTCATCAGGAATGTATGTATTTCTGACAAGGATTTAGTCAAAACTGGTCAGACACATTTCTTGCACTGTGAAGGCGTTCATTCTCATTCATACCTTATTCTACTAGCTGCTCCTTCTTTGGATCTGAGGATGCCCCAGTTCCTCCACTTACAGCTCTGTACTGCACTAAGTACATGCATGCCAGGGCTATTGAACACAAAGTAGCGGGTGGCATCAAACAACTATTCCTGCACTCTTGGCTCATTAGGTGGAGCTTGTTTTTCTCCAATAGTAGCAGCATCATTTCTATTTTAAAACTTTTAAGCAATAGCATCTAAAGTGAAGGTAAACTTTCAAAAATTTTATAGTTTTTAAAATTGAATCAAAATACAAGCTTTAAGTTGCCTAATGATGCCTGCAAACTACCAGACAAGCCAGGCACAAACAGGAGAAACTGTTAATGTGTGCCAATAAACCTGTGATCATGTCCACACCAAAGTTTTTACTGAGCATTATTAGGTTGATATCTTTTATATGGAATGTGCTTTCTTTATTTTTTGGAGTGTTATTTTTATTAAGGGGATTATATTTTTGAAATATTTATTCAATGGGATAAAAGTCTGAGATGCTGTTGAGCATTTTTTATTGGACTGTTATGTACTTAATGTAGGTAGTAGGTGTTTGAGTTAGATCAAATTACTGATTAGTTTCTGAGACTTGTTCCGCAAGTAATATTTGTAAGGTCCTTGAATATCCAAAAAGTCAAAAAGGGTAGCAAGCACTGTTATGGGCCTTAGCAAATGTTGAAAAATTATGGCATCAAAATATTTTAGATATCTTGGTCAACATATTAGGTTTTTAATGTTTAAAATTTAATTGAAACCTCAGCATTTAGATTTCAGTACCCTTATTTTCTGTATTAATTTAAACTATAAATCGTGATCATTTTGCACAAAATTTTGTTATTGTGTTTGATATAAATGCTATCTTTCTAATAGTTACCATGTTTTTTAATCAGTAGAAAGTACTTTGAAGAGTAACTATAGAACAAATTATTTGACTAAGAATTATCATTAATTACTAGTGCCTCATTATGTATCAGTTTTATAAGCAGATGATGTAAATAATCATAATAGGTTGATAAAGGTTATTCTAAGGATTTGTAAATATTTGTAACAAAGCTCACAAACTCACTGACACAAATAAGTAAAACTCCATGTCCCTGTAACTTGCATTAAAAAGATTAATGTCACTGTATAAAGTGTTAACTTTCCAGTGGCTTATATAAGTGAAAAACATATCTGATTACAACAGCTTGGCAACAATTTACAATTTGTCTTCCTAGGTTACAATTTAAACCTTTAGATACTTGCTGTTTATGTTCTAAGACAACAGAAAGTGTTATCTTTGAGGGCCAAGTACTTTAAGGGAGATATGTATTTAATGAACAGCTGATCTTATCAGTTGGTAAATCTATAT